TAATAACTTATTGTGATAATAACTTATTGTGTGCACCAAATTAATAATCTTCGTTAACTACGTATATACGTACGTACATACGTACGTTCGTACGTATTTATGACACTGTGTCAGATTAGACAAAACTCCGACTCAAATTTATAATGGTGCATAATTGCATGCATGCATGAACACCATGCGCATAGTGCCCATCTCTAATCACCCCTGACAATTACTTAATTTGAGTCGTAGTTAGTGTTGTTAGGCGAAATTTAAGAGTTTTGCCACAGACGAAATGCGAAACTAGTTTCGACTTTCGCCAAAAAAAATTTAAAATGGCGAAATGGCGAAATAGCTGAAAGTGGCGAAACTAGAAAAAGGTAGCAAAACTAATTAAGATGATAAAATTAATAAAAGAGACAAGAATAGAAAGGTAATTAAAGAAAATTAAAATGCTTTTATGTGTCGTAATGTGCCATATAAAAGATCCCCTATATATCAGATCCCCCATGAATTAGACCGGGTCTATTATAGGATAAAATTTTGGTAAATGTAAGAGACCCGGGTATACAAATAGGAAAATACTAAGAAAAAAATAAAGAAATAGAATAAACCCAAATTATCATACCCACACCCATACAAAAGACCCCGAGTCTAAATATAGGGTTGAAAATTGGTGGAATGTAACAGACCCAGGTCGTTTATATGGCACATTACGGTAATTATCAATCTGTTTATTTAATATATCAATTAAATCATTCAAAATTAATGTTGGTTTATAAAATATTATATATGAGAAAAAGTAAACAATATTTAAAAAATGAAATACAATCAATTTACTAATAAGTTTTTTTTAAAAAATTATACTAATCTTACTTTAATTCTATATTTAATTTAATAGTAATAACTAGGATTATTTTTTTATAAATTAATAAAATAAATTATTGATGGTTTAAACTGTTGATGATTTAAACTATCAGTAAACTAAATTGTTAGTAAATAAACGAAACCCAAATTATGTTTTGTTCAAAAAATATTAGAAATAGAGTCTAAAAAACTATATTTTAGAAAGATAAAATTTAGAAAATAAGTAACAATAGTAAAAAACTGTATTCATAAATATTAGTATTTGGATAACCTACCCGCGGATAACCAGATATAGATTTCAGAATGGATACAATTATTACTTCTAGCATAGACTCTTACCAACCCTAATATTTAATTTTAACCTAACACAAATTTAATTTGACATATAACATGTGTATAATTATGCTGCCATATACGATGATTTTGATCAATAGCCTAATTTTACTACATTTGGTCTATTATAAGTCAATACGTAACATAACAATTATTTCCTTAAAGATTTAGGACTAGATAAAATAAAGCATCAGAAAATAATTGCCAGTAATAATAATGTTAACAACTACTTACGTATGTATAGCATTTAATTAAAGTTTTAACAATGAAATATTAAAGAAAAACATTTTAACAATATAACAATAAATTTATTTAAATATTTGGACAGGTTTATCTTACATGAATAATATTAATACATAGATTACTAAAAGAAAACAAGATTTCAGGCTTTGAATTTTCAAGGCTGAATTGATTTAATTATAAGCTTAAAAGCCGAAGTCTAGTTTTCTTTTAATAGTACCCAAATACGAACAAAAGGCTATCACATTGTTTATTGCTTTTGTACATTTAAGCCACGCACAAAATATTTTAATTCACTAACTTGGCCAGTCATTTTCAAAGTCTTTATAGCCACGCGCAAAATAATTTGATTCCCTAAAATGGCACAATCTTTTTCAAAGCCTTAGAATTTGATATTTGCTGAGTTTTGACTTTCTCCAGGGTTTCAACTTTACCGGGGTTTCGCCAGAGTTCGCAGTTTCGCCAGAGTTTCGCAGAGTTTCGCCATTTCGTCTTTCGCCGGGTTTAGTTTCGTTTTTCACCATTTGCCAAAAATAGTTTCGCCTAACAACAGTAGTCGTAGTAATTGCTTCCTTCGCACCTAGTATATTCCGTAACTGTTTTTTGATTTTATATATTTTGTTTCTAATCATCAGTCAAACTAAGCTTGAGATTTGCTAGTTTGACTTTTATAACATTTCGCCCTTTTAACAAAGCTTTTGCCTTTTTTTATCGACATGCATCCTCATCAGCTTCTTTCCACAAAGATGCAAATTGATCCCGTTCTTCTTTGTCCTTCAATTCGGAGTATAATATTATATTTACCACAAGGATGCAAATTGATTCCGTTCTTCTTCGTCCTTTAATTCGGAATATAGAATTATATTTACATCCTTTAACTCAGAATACGTATTTTCTAACTCGGAGTGCAATTTTGAATTTACGTTCTCCAGCTTTGCTCATATCTTGTGAGAGTAGCCAGATCTCTTTATTTTAGGTCTGTGCTTCTTGTCCTCTTCTAACTCTGAGATCAATTCCGAATTGTTATCTTCTAGCCAGTTTTTCCTGGCTTCTTTCGCCTGCCACTTGACCTATTCTTTTATTTCTTCTTTACCATGTCTGCCAGTTCAATAGCTTTGCCTTTTTTTTTATATCGACGTGCATCCTCGTCAGCTTCTTCTCACAAGGATGCATTCTTCTTTAGTTATTCGTTTTTCAGATTCAATTTCTCTTTTTTCGTCCTTCAATTTTTCTAGCTTGGAATATAATATTAAATGTACGTCTACCACCTTTTTTAACTCAGAGTACGCCTTTTCTAACTCGGAATGCAAGGTTGAGTTTACGTCCTCAACCTCTTCTAACTCTGAGGTCAATTTTGAATTTAAATCTTCTAACCAGTTTTTCCTGGCTTCTTTCGCCTGCCACTTGACCCATTCTTCTATTTCATCTTCTTTTTTGTACTCCACCATATAAGATTCCACTATAGAAGTGGCAATAATTTCTCGATGTTGTAAAATAAAACCCAAAAAGGACGATTCTGTAAATATAAACAAAGAGCCTCACGGCCAAATCTGCCAGTTCAATCGCTTCTTGGCGAAGAAGCCAGTGGTGAGATTCGGTGTTTTCCGTTTTTTCTTGTTATTAATACAATTTCTCTTTTACAAATACAACAATACGAATTCGATAGTCACGATGAACGATTTTTAATAAAGGGTACAACGGGTTAAAGACAAACACTTCTACTCTCATTTCGAAGGTTTTTGGAACTCCAAGAGTTGATTTTTATTAACGTGAAAAGGTTCTGATTTTATAGTTTTTACATCGTTATTGAGTGATATGAACTTTTATATTGTCTAGGGGCGATAAATGGAATAAGTGCCATATGCACTGGGGATGTTAAGTGGTCCACGGGGAACTGGTTCGGACCGGGTCTGGACCGGACTTTTTAGTGACTAGTTCAGAACTGGTCCAAAACCACACATGATATGAATAGAGTGTCATTTTTGACACATCGAATAGATTTAATATGTTATAAATCATAAACAACGCTTTTTAAGTAGCCATAGTGAAATTCGGCGTTCCCGCTTCAAAATTCACTAATTGTTACCAGGATTATTAAGTGCTTCAGTTAAATCAAATTAGTAAATGCCTTATTGTTTTTACGCCATAGTGATAGAGTATATTAAACCGCTAGGGTAGGACCGGTTTTTAGACAGGGGCGTGAACTAATTTTCAACTAGTTCAGGACCAGACTTTTTAAGGACCGGGACCGAACCAGGCGAACCACTTAACATCCTAATAAGCCATAAATGCCATAACGATAAGTACCATAACGATAAGTCGTACTTATGATAATGATTTCCTTTCGCTTTTTATTTTTGGGTTCTGGGAGTTTTTACTAACTGAAACAGAGCTTTTCAAAAAAAAGGGAACAATAGAAAAAAAAAAACTAAAAATGGAAATAAGGTAAAGAATTAACGAAAAGAGAAATGGGTCGATCGGTGATCCTTTAGCCTTTCACAACGTACGTACGTACGTACATATAACAATGAGCATAGGAATCATCGTTAGGTTTTAATAGTACGTATGTACATATTATGCCGGCACTTGCAGAACCTTACGTACTTATTTACATTTTATATTATGCTCCTAATCATTTTAAGGATCGGTACGTGTACGTGCGTACGTACTTACCTGTTACGAGTTTAATTATATAAGAGGTATTCAGTAAAGTAGTACTGTAGGCAATACAGATTCGAACGAACATAGGAAAATTATACAAAATTTTGATGGTAACTTGCAAAATTCAAATTTTATAAGTATCCAATTTTAATGGCTAGGTGTCCTGTTTCATGCTGGGCTTACCCTAATAGAAAAAGTAACTTGAGTTTGACAAATTTTTTCTTTTACAAATCGTACGTTCTATCTTGATTTCTACACGTCCGTTCTAATTTGCGTTCCGTACCGTACTACTTTACTATATACCCAATTATAAGTGCCCATTAAAATATCAGACATAAACGTAAATAGTGAACTGTTTTTTTAGAATCTAACGTTAAATAAGATTAAGTTCTTTTTTTTTAGGGGAATTTACATATAGGGGCCCGAAAAGTGAAAATAATTACAAATAAGGGCCCAAATTGAAAATAATTA